ACCATTCATCTGTTGTAGGGCATCTAGATTGGTTCCATAGTTTAGCTACTGTAAATTGAGCTGCTCTAAACATTGATGTGGCTATGTCACTGTAGTATGCTGATTATACCTTTGGGTATAAACTGAGGAACCATTCCTCCTTAACTTAATGAGATTAATTTTGTCTTGGTCTTCAATCACAAAGGCTGGCAACAAAAATCTGTTCTCAACTTGATATTATGTTCTCTTTGGACAACAAGATTAAATTCAGAAAATTGTGGAAGGGCTTGTCTTTAGATCATTGGGGTTCTCAATAGAATAGTTGTTGCCTAAGACTACTTGAGTAAGCCAAACACAGTGACTTTGCTGCTCCTGTGACTATTCGACACTTACATGCCAATGTGACCCCTTGAACACCGTGGCTCCCAAGATTTTGGTGCCCATTGTTTTTGTTTGTTGCACATATATTTCCAGAGAAAAGTTTGAGAGAATGCCACTCCACAATATTCCCAGAATCAGAAAAAAATCTAAGGTCTCTTCATGAGACTCGGGTATCACATACTCCCATTAATCAGAAGTACCTGTTCACAACATTTGACCCAGCTATCACCCTTCTCAGATTATTCCCTGAGGACCTTAAAAGAGCGTATTATAGGGATACTGTCACATAAATGATCATAGCAGCACAATTCACAATAGCTAGACTGTGGAACCAACCTAGATGCCCTTCAATAGATGAATGGATAAAAAAAAATGTGGCATTTATACACAATGGAGTATTACGCAGCACTAAAAAATGACAAAATCATGGAATTTGCAGGGAAATGGATGGCATTAGAGCAGATTATGCTAAGTGAAGCTAGCCAATCCTTAAAAAACAAATGCCAAATGTCTTCTTTGATATAAGGAGAGCAACTAAGAACAGAGCAGGGAGGAAGAGCATGAGGAAAAGATTAACGTTAAACAGAGACGAGTGGTGGGAGGGAAAGGGAGAGAGAAGGGAAATTGTATGGAAATGGAAGGAGACCCTCAATGTTACACAAAATTACATGTAAGAGATTGTGAGGGGAAAGGGGGGGAAAAACAAGGGAGAGAATTGAACAACAGCAGATGAGCTAGAGAGAGAAGAGGGGAGGGGAGGGGAGGGGAGGGGAGGGGGGATAGTAGAGGATAGGAAAGGCAGCAGAACACAACAGACACTAGTGTGGCAATATGTAAATCAATGGATGGGTAACCGATGTGATTCTGCAATTTGTATGTGGGGTAAAAATGGGAGTTCATAACCCACTTGAATCAAATGTATGAAAGATGATATGTCATGAGCTTTGTAATGTTTTGAACAACCAATAAAAAAAAAAGAAGTACCTGTTCATTGGTCTAGATTTGGTGAGAGGTGAAGCAGATGTTTAACTTACAAAGTAGGGCAAGATTTCACAACCTTCTTTGTATTGCTGGTGGTCCCACCAAGCCCTTCTAGGCATCCTGAAACATATTTTAAGGTCTGGATGGAGAAAAGAGGCATGTATTTATGAAAAACCAACATTTCAAGAAAATGTGTGGTGAATTCCAAGTAAATCATGGAAAAGAAAGAAAATTGTGAGTTAAAAAAGACCACAGATAAGAAGGGTCACCTTTTTACTTCTCAAAACTTTATTTTCATTCAAGAATTTTACCCTTCCCCCTTCACTGGTCCCTAATAAGTGTTTCATATGCTAATATAATATTTAAAATATAATTCATTGCATCCAACCAGTCTCCACATTAAATGTATTCCATTCCAATATTCCCATACTGCTACTCAATCTAGAAACTATCTTTAATTTCTTCCTCTTTTTTTGTACCAGAGATTGAATGCAAGGGTGCTCAATCACTGAACCACATCCCCAGCCCATTTTTTAATTTTATTTATTTTAAGACAGGGTCTCTCTGAGTTGCTGAGGCTGACTGAACTTGCAATCCTCCTTCCTCAGCAACCCAAGTCTCTGGAATTATAGGCATGTGCCACTGCACCTGGCTCTTCCTCTTTTTAATGTCCCATATTTGGTCATCATAATGACTCAAGTCATGTCTTTCTCCAAAGTATCTCTCATATCTGTTAGCATGCTATCCATTTTTCCATTGTCTATTTCCTGTTCCAGTTTTCTCCCACATGCCTTCAGAACAGTCTCTTATATGGCCTCATTGCTCATACATACTCTGACATTTCCCACATCATTTCAGGATGCCAAAGTTAGCTTTCTGAAACACAAATATGATACCTCTTCCCTACTTGAATATTAAAGGCTTTTATTTCCTTCAAAGTAAAACTCAAACTCTTTGGCTTGACATATAAAATGACCTCATGATCTGGCCTTTGCTGACATCGCTTTTTTAATTTCTTATTATTTCTTACTACTTTACTGACTATTTCTTACTGATTTTTATTTCTTACTATACTTATCAGCCCATAGTTTTTTGGATGGGCCATCATCTCTTTCGACTCCCCTCCATCATATTTAACCCCGAAATGACCATGTCTCCTGACTCTCGCAGAACTTGATCAACTACTCCAAAATGAAGCCTCATTAAAGCCTACTATTTCCTTCTCCCACCCCCATAAAGCAGAAAATGTACCTCTCCTAGTGTTCTCTAGCAACCTATGAGCCTTATGAGCCTCTTTATAATAGGAACAATGCCTTAGACTTGGAAGATAATTTAAAAATCATCATATTTATACTATCAAATATGTAATATTGAGAGATTAATAGGTAAAGGCATGTTTAATAGAAAAAAAATTAGTAAAGGATTTACATTTGGAAAACTGATCTCAAAATCTATACTAATCTCCATGTTCAGTCAGGTGGTCAGTTCTCTCATCCATCAGCAACTTGTCATTTTTTGTTACTTCATCCTCTTCAAAGTGCTTTCATTATTTGGCTTCAAGGACTTCACATTCTTTGATACTTATTCTATGATCCCAGTTCCTTCTCAATCTTCTTTGTTGACAAATCCCCGTGTCCTCTTAAACCTATCATCTTCCCTTCTACACTCATTACCTTGGTGATCTCATATTTCAAGACTTTATATTGCCATCCATCTGCTACCAAGATCAAATTACCTATCTCTTCTGGACTCCTCCCTGAACTGCAGACTTGTTTGACTGCACAACAGAAATTTCTAATTTAAATTTTTAAAACTGAACCTCCAACCTCAAGTAGCCACAACCCGAGTTCACCTGATCTTCTCCATCAGTCAATTGCATCTCCATCCTTCCAGTTGTTCAAACCATGACATGCTTTTAATCACCTTGACCCTTCTTTATGTCACTTCACATGGTCAATCATCAGCAACATGGCTCCAATCTTACTTACCTATATCCAGAATCCAACCACTTCTCAGCATTTCCACTGTGACCACCCTGGCTCAAGTCACCATCACCTTTCAGTTGGCTTACTACATTAACCTCCTATTTGATCCTGTTTCTACCTTGGTTCTCCTCAGTCTATTTACAAGCCTGCAATTACAAATATCCTTTTAAAACAAATCACTTCTTTTATCCAAACCTTTGAGTGACCCTCCATCTTACTCAGAATCAAAGTCAAATCTCAGGAATGAACTTTAAAACTGCATGATCTAAACAGAAGTGTTACATGCTAATGATTTTTCAAAAAGATTTCACATTTAAAATGTGATTAATTTTCTCAATTATAAATATGTCTGCAGTAGCAAAAATAAAAACAAGTTATTTCAAGTTTAAAAAAATCTGCATAATCTAACTTCCCAGTACATCATCTCCTTATTCTCCCTTGCCCACTCTTGTTCAGTCAAACTGGTCTCCTAGGATGTCTTCTAGAAAGCAGCATGTCTCTGCTTTAGAATCTTCCTATTAGCGTGCTTCTTCATTTCCTTTAAGCCTTGACTCAAATTTTATCCTCTTGATAAAGCCTTACCTGATCACCCTATTAAAAATAAAATCCCATATGAATTTTCCCTATTCATCTCCTCCACTTGTTTTTTTTTTTCATAGTACTTATGACCATCTAATGTATTATTCTAGTTTCCTTAATTATTTTGTTTACTGACATTCTTCTCCTACCAGATGTAAAGTGCTTGGGGCAGGAATTTTTACCCATTTGTTCACTGCTATACCCCAAATTGGACATAATCTCCAAATAAGAGTTGCCAAGTGAAGAAACAATTCAACACATATTTATCACTTCTGAGTGTCTGACAGTGATTGGATTGCAGTAGTATTTCACTTAATGTTCATCCACTTTAAAGACTAAGAAATTAAAATTTCAAGTATTTGATTCTATGATGCTTCATGTGTTTCTGTATAGGTAGGACTTATGACAGCTTTCTGGGTGCTTGGGGAGATAAAACCTTTCAGGAAAATGCCCTCTTTTGTTATGTTGTATTTTTACTTGAAATTGGTTTGAGAAATGATGAATGAATATGGGGGAGTATGCCAAGGATCCCAACCTTTGACACAAACTCTTGCCCAACGTATTATAATTATTCAGAGCTGTTGCAGCATGAAGTCAGTATTTTTAGGAGCCAACACATACAATTTGTCTGCAATGGAAACTCACTTAAAAGAATTGAAAGTGACAAGACTGATAATAAAATTGTGTCACATTGTAGAGTTTGTTTTATAATGCTTTGCTAAGATTGAGTTCATCCATTAGTTCTTCAAATTTTGGTGATTCTTAAAAAAGCATAGACATTGGGTCCCCACCATATACTTCCTACTGGCATAGATATTTAACAAACTTCCCAGGCTTTTATTAAGTGTCATCCCTGCACTTAAATCATACAGTGGCATTTGAGAACTAATGCTGTAGATCGTGATAAACTGCTAAAAGTTTTCAGCTGTAATTTTGCATACATTCTGTATATTTGCAACTTATGTCTGGTTGAAGAACACTACATTTTTATGTACTATACAACTAGGTAAATCTGACAAAGGAATGGCTGGAATGTTTTTCAGAATAATGTATCATATGCTGCCTCACAACAGTATTTTTCTCTATCTGTTATAGGTCAATGCACAAACTGGCCCAGTTGGAAAGACTTGACTTAGGCAATAATGAATTCAGTGAGCTGGTAAGCAAATGCATTTTCTAAACTTGATAAAAACACTCCAGGAGATTATTTCTTTTTCACTGTCTTTGTAACCCCAGGTATTAAAACATTGAGTGCACATTTGCATTTGCTAAATATATAAAATAAAATCTGAGAGTTAAAGTGATTGTATAGTAAGCCACAAGTAACTATATATTAGGTTACACCAAGAAATTATTGGGGTTGAAACAGAAGCATATTATTAATTTTGGGCAACAACTGGGTGGCAGGCACCAGGTTAAGTGTTTTACATATATTACCCCATTTAATCCTGATTTGACATGTCAAGATGGTCACTGATATATATATAGCTATTATATGGCTGAACAGAGATTAAATTGAGACTTGATCATCTCTGAAGTTCAAACCTGAAACATTTTTCCCTTAGAGGTTGCTTGGTAGCATGACATGAGGGATGGGAGTCACCAAGGACATGGTATTTCCAATTGCACTGAAATGTCTTAAAACTCACCGCCAGCAAGATTGCTTACTCCTTTCAAGCTTCATTTTCTTTAAAATATGTGTGGAGTTCAATATCTCAAGTACAAATTAGAAGAAAGCACAAATATTTCTTTGTAATTCTTCCTCTTAAATATTTTCAAATATCAAAAATTAAAATTATCTAAAGTGTATTTTAACTATTATTTTTTTTAAACATTTTATTTTTTCTTTTTTTAAAGATAGAGTGAGGGGGGGGAGAGAGAGAGAGAGAGAGAATTTTTTTAATATTTATTTTTTAGTTCTCGGCAGACACAACATCTTTGTTTGTATGTGGTGCTGAGGATCGAACCCGGGCGGCACGCATGCCAGGCAAGCGCGCTACCGCTTGAGCCACATCCCCAGCCCTATTTTAACTATTCTTATTTGTTGTTTTTAGACATACATGATAATTGGGTGTATTTTGAATATTATACATACATGGGGTACAACCCATTAAAATTTTGATCTTATCGTTAAACATGATGTGGAGTTACACTGGTTGTGTATTCATATATGTGCATAGGAAAGTTATATCCAATTCATTCTACTGTCTTTCCTATACACATTGCCCCTCCTTTCCCTTCCATCTCCCTAATCCAATGAACTTCTATTCTTACCCTTCCTACCCTCCCTTGTTATGGGTTAGCATCTGCATATCAGAGAGAACATTTGACCCTTGATTTTGGGAGGACCGACTTATTTCACTAAGCATGATAGTCTCCGGTTCCATCCATTTACTGGCAAATGCCACAATTTCATCCTTCTTTATAGCTGAGTAATATACCAGTGTGTATATATACCACATTTTCTTTATCCATTCATCTGTTGGAGGCTACCTACATTGATTCCAAAGCTTGGCTACTGTGAATAGAGCTGCTATAAACATTTATGTGGCTGCATCACTGTGTTATGCTGATTTTAAGTCCTTTGGGTATAAGCCGAGGAGTAGGATAACTGGATCAAATGGTGGTTCCATTCCAAGTTTTCTGAGGCATCTCCATACTGCTTTCCACAGTGGTTGAAAACAATTTGCAGTCTCACTAGCAGTGTATGAATGAACCTCTTTCCCCACATTCTCACCAACATTTATTATTAAATAATAATTGCCATTAATAATTATTAAGTAATAATTATTATTGATAATTGCCATTCTGACTCTAATTGCTAGTGATGCTGAACATTTTTTCACATATTTGTTGACCCGTCATATTTTTTCTTCTGTGAAATGCCTGTTCAGTTCCTTTGCCCATTGGTTGATTGGGTTATTTGATGTGTTTTTGTTTTTTGGTTTTTTGGTGTTAAGCTTTTTGAGTGGAACTTCACATTTCTAATATAACTCACTCTATTAATTATCATATATGTGGAACTGGCCATTGTTTCTCTGATGATAACAACTTGTAATGAGAAAATAAGAGATTTTTTTCTGGCAAGAAACAGTGTCATGCAAAGAAGGGCTCAGATTCCATTCTAAAGCTAGATGTGAACAACTCAAGAGACTATCAACAGGTGATTCATTGAATATGACCTGGAAAAGAGACAATGTAGAGAAAAGATGACTACAACTTAAAAACTTTGAGAGCCATTGAGAATGGAAGTTAATTGAGAAAGAATATAAATATTCTAAGGAAGGTTTAAAGTAAAAATATCTACTTATGGATACCTTTGTTATAACAAAAACTTATAATAACAGGAATTATCTTATGTTTCTAACAACAATGATTACCACAAGATAGTAGATAAAGTTCTAGGAACATAAGAGCTACTTAGAGTTATTTTTTGATTAATTCTTTATTGGATTGTTTTACTCAATATGAAATTAATAAATGTCCATTTAAGAAAATTTAGAAAGTTAAAATCTTAAAAACAATAGTAAAAGTCAGCCATGATCCCATACCCATATATAACCATTATAAATATTTTTTTTGGTATATTTTCTCCCTGCCCCTATTTCTTATCATGAAGTCAAATGAGTATTATTTGGAGTCAGGTCAAATGTAGGACTCTTTATTGGCTGTCAGGGGCCAAAAGCCTTGTGGTAGGTATAGTTTCCAATAGATTTATGCAATGAATTAAAAGTCCACTATTGGTCCTGAACTGGTAGAGGAAATAATGGAGACTTCACAAGCAAATCGCTATGAGTGAAAAACATACAAGAAAATGGAACAAATTGAGAGCAGAGCATGGGAGACAAAGGAATCAGTGTTACCCAGAGATGAAGCAAGGCCACTCTGACCATCCTTCTAATACAGCTCCAGCCCCAGCTCCCATCTCTCAGTCTCCTAACCTGCTTCTCCCCTCCCTCCCTGCACTGTAAAGGCAAGGGTTAATATGTAAAAAAAAAAAAAATGTCATTTGGAGCCATCAACAACTCTGCTAAGGGAATCTTCATCAAGAGTCAGTCGTAAGAAGCAAAGTGAGCTTCTCTGCAAGCCAGAAAGACAGAAGAGGAGAGTAATAGCAGATTGGGATATAACCTGCACATGTTTTAGAGTCATTCGAGCAGTCAAATGGGCAAGAGCAGAGTGGGCAATGGGCCACAAGAAAGGGAGAGAGGGATTATAGTGATCACTAGAGAAGCATCTCCCCTTATTTGGGAATGTTCCTTGTCTCCACTCCTCTACCCTTTACAAAGGGACTCCTGAAACAGAATTGATTGAGAAGGATCCTAGGAAAGTCCTGATCTCCTGATCCTGTGCTATTCAAGCAGGAAGAAGGTCAGACGAATATGATTTGAAATTTCACTATAAATATGGCATAACTTACTGGTTATCTATAGATATTTCTGAATACCAAATTGCAATCATAGTGTGCATTGTTATTGAACTCAGATAGATTCCCTACAGGCACTATAATTCACAAGCTTTCTTTGTAGCTAAATTAGGAAGACTGTCAAACAATAGCTACAAAATAGTGAATTAAAAATCTGAATTTAAGAGAAAAAAATCAGAATCTTGATATTTTATTATATCACATTTTATGCATACAAAATAATATGCATAACAAATGTTTAAGTTACAGAGCATAATAAAATGAACCCTGTGAAGCCACCTCCCTGTTCATATGAATCAGCACTGCCTATCCTGTGCAGCCAACTCTATGCTTTTCCCCAGGCCCATCATTCTGTTTTATCCCAAGAGGTAATTACAATTTCGAATTTCTAAAAATATTCTCTTGCTTTATCTCCAGTGGTAACTATAGTCCTGAATTTTGTGTAACATTCTCTTGCTTCATTTACCCCTTTGTTTGTATTCCTAAGTGTTATACTATTGTACTTTTTCCTGTTTCTAGAAATGTGACCATACCACAACAATTTACCCTGCCTTGTCTTCCTGGAAAGTCCCTTTGTCCACTTGTTATTACAGTGTTGATATGTGTACTGTCATGAGAATTAATCTAAAGCACAGGTTTAGAAGTGGCATTTCTTCATTATTAGTTACCAATATATTCATCTTTAAAAATAATGCTTTTGTGGTTTTTTTTTTTTCAAAATAGTTGTACTCATTTACCAGGAACATGGAAGAATTACCATACATCATCTCTTCATCAGCACTTGATATTGTTGGGCTCTTTATTTTTGTCAATATAACAGCTGCAAAATGGCATCTCCTTTTGGGCTTCATTTGCATATCCCCAATTTCTAATGAGACATGATTTTTCTGTCTGTTATTGGCAGTTTGTGTAGCCTCTTCCATCAAATGCCTGTATATGTATTTTAGCCCATTTTTCTTTTTTTAATATTTTATTAGTTATTGATGGACCTTTATTAATTTATTTGTTTGTATGTGGTGCTGAGAATCGAACCCAGGGCCTCACACATGCTAGGCAAGCGCTCTACCACTGAGCCCCAGCCCCAGACCCTTTGCCCACTTTTCTATTGGTTATCTTTCTTTCTTTTTTTTTGGCCGATAGAGACTTTATACTCTCATAAAAGAGTATGTATTCCACCCATATTATAGATACTAATCCTTTATTGGTTAAAAGTACCATAGATATCTCCTCTCAGCCTCTGGAGGGTCTTTTTGATTTCTACATCCTCTGTTTTCATGAACAGAAGTCATTAATTATAACACAATGAAGTGTACAATTTGTGTGTGTCTATCACATTTTGTGTCTTGCTTAAGAAATGATTTTTCCCTGAAATCAGAAATATTTTTGTGTTTTTTGTAATAAAAATTTTGAAGATTTCATTTTTTACAGTCAAGTATTTTTCCATGTGGGTTTAAATTTTACATTCTGCCTCCTATTTTTGCTAAACAAATTCTGTTTTCCAAGTGACATTTATTAAATAGTTCTTTCTTTCCACATAAATATGGCTGTCACCTCTTAATAAAATATGACTTCTTTTTGTCTTCATTAGTCAGTTTACTGTCCAAGTACCAAAACCATAAATTAGTACAAAAAAATCCATTTTGTTATCTGATAATACAAGTTTTAGAAGTAGCATTTCTAAATGAACCTTCATATGAGTTTTAGAATTAGTCTTAAGTCTCTCAAAAAGAAAG